ATGCCCTCTACCATCATTCTTATTCAACATTGTGCTGGAGGTCCTAGCCAGAGCAATTAGGCTAGAAAAGAAATAAAGGGCATCCAGATCAGTAGGGAAGAAGTCAAAGTATCTCTATTTGCAGATGATATGATCTTATACAGAGAAAACCCCAAAGAATCCACAAGAAAACTACTGGAACTAATGGAAGATTTCAGCAAATTATCAGCATACAAGATAAACATACAAAAATCAGTTGGATTCCTTTACACCAACAAAGAGAACTTCCATGAGGAAATCACCAAATCAATGCCATTTACAATAGCCCCCAAGAAAATAAAATACTTAGGAATAAATCGAATCAGAGACATAAAAGACCTATACAAAGAAAACTACAAGGCACTACTGCAAGAAATCAAAAGAGATCTACGTAAGTAGAGAAACATACATTGCTCATGGATAGGAAGACTCAACATTGTGAAAATGTCAGTTCTACCCAAAGTGATCTAAAGATACAATGCAATCCCAATCCAAATTACGATGGCATTTTTTCATGTGATAGAGAAACAAATTACCAACTTCATTTGGGAAGGGAAGAGGCCCCGGATAAGAAAAGCATTACTGAAGAAAAAGAACAAGGTGGGAGGCCTCACACTACCTGATTTTAGAACCCATTATACCACCATAGTAGTCAAAACAGCCTGGTGCTGGTAAAACAAAAGATACATAGACCAAATGAGCAGAATTGAGAATCCAGACAGAAATTCATCCACCTGTGAGCAGCTAATATTTGACAAAGGCCCAAAGGCCATTAAATGGAGAAAAGACAGTCTCTTTAACAAATGATGCTGGTATAACTGGATATCCATCTGCAAAAAAATGAAACAAGACCCATATCTAATACCATGCACAAAAACGAACTCAAAATGGATCAAAAACCTAAATATAAATCTAAAACTATAAAGATAATGGAAGAAAAAATAAGGACAATGCTAGGAGCCCTAATACATGGCATAAACAGAATACAAACCATAAGTAACAATGCACAAACACCAGAAGAGAAACTAGACACCTGGGAATGCCTAAAATCAAACACTCATCAAAAGACTTCACCAAAAGAGTTAAAAGACAACCTACAGACTGGGAAAAAAAAATTTGCTATGACAAATCCGATCAGCATCTAATCTCTAAACTCTACAAGATACTGGAAAACCTCAACAACTCACACACAAATAACCCAGTTGAAAAACGGGCAAAGGATATGAATAGGCACTTCACCAAAGAAGACATTCAGGCAGCTACCAGATACATGAGGAAATGCTCACGATCATTAGCCATTAGAGACATGCAAATCGAAACTACAATGAGATATTGTCTCACCCCAACGAGGCTACCATTAATCCAAAAAACACCAAATAATAAATGTTGGAGAGGTTGTGGAGAGACTGGAACATTTATACAGTGCTGGTGGGAATGTAAAATGGTACAACCACTTTGGAAATCGATTTGGCACTTCCTTAAAAAGCTAGAAATAGAAGTATCATATTATCCAGCAATCCCACTCCTTGGAATACATCCTAGAGAAAGTAAGAGCCATTACACGAATAGATATATGCACACCCATGTTCACTGCAGTACTGTTCACAATAGCAAAAAGATGTAAACAACCTAGGTGCCCATCAGTGGACGAATGGATAAACAAATTATGGTATATTTACACAATGGAATACTATACAATGATAAATCTGTGAAACATATCGTAACATGGATCTATCTGGAAGGCATTATGCTGAGTGAAATTAGTCAGTCGCAAAAGGACAAATATTGTATGAGACCACTATTATAAGAACTCAAGAAATGGTTTAAACACAGAAGGAAATATTCTTTGATGGTTATGTGGGTGGGGAGGATGGGAGGGGGTATTCACTAGATAGTAGATAAGAATTATTTTAGGTGAAGGGAAGGACAACACACAATACATGGGAAGTCAGCACAACTGGAGCAAACCAAAAGCTAAGTAGTTTCCTGAACACAAACAAACACTTTGAGGGACAGAGCAGCAAGGGCGTGGGTCCGGGGACCATGGTTTCATGGTTTCAGGGGATACCTAGGTCAACTTGCATAACAAAGTTTATTAAGAAAATGTTCTGCATCCCACTTTGGTGAGTGGTCTGGGGTCTTAAAAGCTAGCGAGCAGCCATCTAAAATGCATCCATTGGTCCCAATCCACCTGATGTAAAGGAGAATGAAGAACACCAAAGACATGAGGAAAATATTAGCCCAAGAGACAGAAAGGGCCACATAAAGCAGAGATTCCAACAGCCTGAGACCAGAAGAACCAGATGGTGCCTGGCTACCACCAATGACTGCCCTGACAGGGAACACAACAGACAGTCCCTCATGGAGCAGGAGAGAAGTGGAGTGCAGAACTCAAATTCTAGTAAAAAGACCAGGCTTAATGGTCTGGCTGAGACTAGAGGGACCCCGGAAGATATGGTCCCTGGACTCTCTGTTAGCCCAGAACTGAGACTATTCCTGAAGCCAACTCTTTAGACAAAGATTAGACTGGACCATGGGACAGAAAATGATACTTGTGAAGAGAGTGTTTCTTAGTTCAAGTAGATACATGAGACTAAATGGGCAGCTCCTGTTCAGACGTGAGATGAGAAGGCAAAAAGGTACAGGAGCTGGTTGAATGGACACAGGGAATCCAGGGTGGAAAGAAGGAGTGTGCTGTCACAGTATAGGGAGAGTAGCTAGGGTAGCAATGTGTGTATAAATTTTTGTATATGAGAGACTGACTTGAAGTATAAACTTTCACTTAAAGCACAATTAAAAGCAAAATAAATGTGAACCTGAGCTTTTTGAGGAGGAAGATGAAGGAGGAATGTAGCAGAACACCCTCCCTCTTCTTTGCTTGCCTCCCCAACACAAGAAACATTGTAAACTATAAATATCCCTAGATCCTTGTGAACAGTGAGCTCCTCTTGGGGAACCACTATATCTCTGAATCCCCAGAGCCTAACACAGGGCCTGACATACACTAGGGGCTCAAGAAATGGTTAATAAATGAATGAATGAACTACAAGAAACGTATGAAACAAATTTTGGTCAAACTACAATTTGTGGTACTCTGCAAAGTTGGGAGAAGTGTGGCCCTTCCGTATAATTAGGTGGGAATGATGGGTAGGAGGCATTAGAACAGAGAGTAAGATAGGGCCCTGCTCTGGACATTCTTTTACTGAGGAGAAAGGGAACTGAGCAGGCACTCTTGGGATGGCCTGAAATGGCTCAGCTCATCTGGTCTGTGTGAGGAAAGGGCGTACATTTGAGGTACTATGTGTCCCAGCACTCAAGGTCTCTGTTGGATCAGATATATGCTATTCGATGCACTGAAAAAAGAAGAAATGAAGACCACGATGCCCCAAGATAAGATTACGGATTGAAATAGCTTCATTCAGTAAACCCCTGAGCATGAAAGCAATGCCTCATTATATTCTATTCTTCCTTCCCAAACCAAAGTGTGCTTGGTTTTTCAAATTCATGCTGACTGTGCACATGAGGTCTGAGACAAAAATCGTTTTAATTTTGAAAGTTCAAGAAAGCTTCGAAAAAGTTGTTTGGCAGATTGAAAACGTGACTTTGCTTCGAAAACATAGCTAATTCAGAAATGTCCCAACGGACTGCTTTTCCAGAAACATTGAATTCTGAATAGAGATGAAGGAAAAGAAAATTCAACCCACAAGCCACAAAAGAGAAAACATTAGGGGATGTTCCGACACCCACAAAAAATTGGGACATAGAAGAAAGGTGTTTTCTCTATCCACCAAGTCACAATTTCAAAATCATGAACACTCTGTCATAATATTCCAGAAAAAAATTAAACGGGGCAAGTCGGGGCACATAACAGAGGGCAGGACTCCAAATTGAAAAGATGATTTGCATATTAATTTTTGCATATTAATAAGGAATACAATTTTCAAGGAATCTCCAACTGAGCTTGCTATGCTTACTGGTAGGGACTTGTTCACAATTTATTTGAAAATGAGCTCATACAGCAAGCCCAAATCATAGTGGAAAACAACTATCCTAATCAATAAATAATGGGCAGGGATTCCACACACAGAGGAACTGGGACAAGCTGGGGCAGCTGATCTCTCTTCCTGTTTACTCAACACCTCTGAGAAGCCAATTAATTCTCCATCAGAAGACATCCCTTCCTCAAACTTAATATGGATAGATATTTTCTAACTTGTCCTCAAAGACCTTAGTTGCCAGCTATTAGTTTGTTTTCCTCGTGTCCCTCCCCCTCCGCAACTTCCTATCTCCCATTTCAAAACTGCGTTCCCTCTCTAAATTGGGGTAGGAAACCTGGGCTTACCATACCTACTTTTAGATTCATCCCGTGGTATACCGTCTGTACAAATCCAAAAGAACTTAAAGCAAAGACAATGTATAAGAAAGATACATGATCGGCCTCAGAAAGCAGTGTGCCGTACAGCAGCCCTGAAGAGGAGCAGCCTGCTTCTATCCTTCCATTTGTGCTCAGTATCCCACCATTTCCAGACATAGTCTAGTGCTTGAGAGGCCAAAGGCATGGCTCTGTTAATGCCAGCTAAAATAGTGATGATTCATTGTGACCTGAGGCCTGCCCTAAGGATTCTGGAAAAGACCCTTCCTTCTATAGAGCTCAGAACCTCATAGCTGCAGGTAAACAATTAGACAGCATGGTATTCTTAACACTAAGTCAATTCCAGTCTCCCTTTCTCTCCATTTTCCATAAGAACTCATCCCTATGGATACCCCTGGGCTCTACAACTAGGATGATAATGGTACATCAGTAAAAATCAAGCCATTGCCTACTCCTTGCCTGAAGAGGAAGCAAAGACACTAGAACACAGAATAGTATGACACTCTAGAAATTTGAGCCTTCATGCTGGTCATCATCTCCTAGTGTGATATTACCAATGAAAAATGCAGAAGCTTTGCCTCTTGGCCCCCACCCAGCTGGTTCTTCTTACCTTTGGTTCCATTGAAATGAAACTGTGGGTTCCTCTGCTCGAGAGAACTGACCTTTTAATCGTCCTGCTATGGTAGAAGTGGTAGTAGTCCTTCAGGGCCCCAATCTGCAAGGGCAGGGTGGGAAGGAAAGAGCAAAAGAAAGAGACATTAATGCATGAAAAAAAAAACATCTTCTGTTTTCCTGCTCTTCATTAAAATAAAAACACAAAACCAAAAAAATAAAAACACAAAAAGGTCCATAAATTATGCAGTTGGCTGCTGTGCTTAAATGTTACTTGAACCTTGGTGATCACTTTTCGAAAAGAACATGTGATATGAAATGTAGTGTCCTTGAAGCAGTGACTGCAGAACTAAAGATTATAATGTGTAGCTTAGCCTGACCATATCTCCCTTTTAATGTTTAATTTATATGCAGCATTTTAAGTAATTCTATATCAATTTATATCCAAATGTGGGGAAGGAAAAAAAAATCAAATAGCTATCTGGTTATTAAAATACATTGCATTTTCTTTGCTCCCAGAAATGTACAATGAAGTACCTTGTTAGATTATTTATACCATTAATTTGAAATAAGTCTTAAGTAGGAGATCACTTACAAAGATAACATTACTTAATTTCCTGACTTTAGTAAACAGTATAAACATATTGCCCTCATTCATTTCAAAACAAAAAGTGGAATGGCATTTTCTAAAACAAAACTAAAATCCCACATCCTATCAACTAAGCTTTCTGTGTAAAAACAGTTCAATGCACTGTACCTTATTCTTATCCATTTCTTTAACATTTTAGTCTTTTTGTTTACATATCCCTTTCCTTAGTTAAAAATGGTTAGGTCTGTTTAATATAGTTTTGAAAATAAGGCCATGTTCACTTTAGGAAAACAAACTAGCAAAATCCCACCCAAAAATATTTTCTTAGCAGATTATAAAACCTGGGCCACATGATAGAAACTGAACCATTCAAAGAAGATAAGAGACTTAGTTCTAGTTCCAACTGACGCACACCAGAAGTGTCTCCTTGGGTAAGTCATATACACTTAACTAAACCTCAGTTTCCTTCTCTATAAAATTGGACTTTTGGCTAGTTAATTTTTAAGATCACTGCAGCTCTCAAATTCCACTCTTTGACAGTGAGACTTTACTTCATTTGGGCAAATACTTCAAATGGCTATTTCTCCAGAACACCATGGCTCTGCCCTAAAAGAATGACCATCAACAGGCTATTTTGCAATTGGGACAATTCAAAAAGTTGGGCTTTCCTCATTTAAAAAAGAAAAGTCATTGGCTCATCTTAATTTTTCCAGCTGAAAGGTTTAGGTTTTATTTCTTCTATTCATCACATTCTCAATTATCGTCCTACCCCTTGCAATAAAGATGATCAACCCGATTTCTGTTCCATTTAGGAGACATCTTCTCATTGAGACTTTATGCCCTAATTGAACATCTCATAATCATTCAGATTTGAAAGAAAGTTTCAAGTCTCCCATCCATTTTTTTTTTATTTTTTATTAAAATGGACACTGACATACACCATCGAATCACTCCTGGGTGGGTAAGTGAGGGCTGCGGAAACCTCTCATTGATCCGGACTCTGAAGCAGTAGCAAACAATGAGGAAGAGGGCCCAGATGCCAGCCCCAGTCTCTAAGAGTGATTCAAGGAGGGATTTACAGGCTGGTTTTCAGATTCCGGAGGACTAAGGGTAGAGTCAGGAGGAGCCCTGTAATCCTTTACAAGAAAATCTTAAAATCACTAGAAGCTTAGAGTTTCCATCTTATGTAGCTTTTGTCAAGCATGTTCCTTGGGAGCTTGTGGAGTTCTATGTTCTCAGAACATAGAATCTCTGAGGAAGTACCTGAGAGACAACCCATCACTAATGTGAAAAATGTCAATGTGTTTAAGATCATGTCTACTCAGCTATAATTAAACCTCTTTGATTATGGAAATGACTGAATTCAACCCAACAATTAAACCCAAACTGTGCATGAAATTCATTCTAAAGACATGTGTGGATCCTTTGTGGCCTCATTGGTACACATTGGAATTCCAGCCAAATATAGTGAATAGGAAGGAGCCCTGGTGGTGCAGTGGTTAAGACCTATGACTGCTAACCAAAAGGTTGGCAGTTTGAATCCACCAGCTGTTCCTTGGAAACCCTAAGGGGCTAGTTCTACTCTGTCCTATAGGGTCACTATGAGTCAGAATCGACTCCACGGCAATGGGTTTGGTTTGTTTTTTTTTTTTTTTTGGTGGGGGGAGGGGCAAGGGGAAGTAGTGAATAGGGAGCTGGAAAATGGAACCCTAGTCCTGACTTATGAGGTATTGGTAGTTCATTGGCAGAATTCTCACCTTCAATGCGGGAGGTTCAATTCCTAGCCAATGCACCTCATTCACAGTCACCACTCATCTGTCAGTGGAAGCTTGTATGTTGCTATGATGCTGAACAGGTTTCAGCAGAACTTCCTAAGATGGACTAGGAAGAAAGGCCTGGTGATCTACTTCTGAAAATCAACCAATGAAAGAAAACCCTATGGATCACAACAGTCCAATCGACAACTGATCATGGGGATGGTGCAAGACCACCCAGTGTTTCATTCCTTTGTGCATGGGGTCGCCATGAGCAGAGGCAAACTCCGTGGCAGCTAACAACAACAACGTTCTCACTACCTGCAGCACCCTCCCCTACCTCCACCCTCTCCTTGATTCCTCTTCCTCCTCCTTTATGTCTCATCTAAGGATGATCTCCTTAATTCCCCAGACCCTGTCAGGTTCCTTTATTATATCATCTTATAGAATTATAAGAACATTTACTCATAATTATACCTTGATGAGTACAATTATTTATTTAATGTCTTTGTTCCCATCTGTATGTTTCACTGAGGCAGGGACTTAATCTGTTTTTGCTCACCAATTAATTCACAGTTCTTAGCGTGTGAGTTCTCAGAAAAGATTGCTGAATGGATAAAAATCCAAATCTATGAAGAACTAAAATTAAACACAGAGCTATATGTAGTTCAAAATCTCTAATATGAGTATCACAGAACTATCAAATGAAGGCTAATGTCAGCAAAATAGTCTAATTCTCCCTTAATTGAAGTGCCAACTTTGCCAGGGTTATGGTTCTGAAGGCTGTGAGTTAAGAAACCTCTCTCTCTCTCTATATATATATATATGTGTGTGTGTGTGTATATGTGTATATACATGTATAATTTTTTCCAGGGCAACAGCTAAGGAATAATACTACATTAGTTCAATTATTCTGCTTCATTAAAAAAAAAATCTATCACTTCCTAGAATTATATATAATATAGACACATTTATGTCTCTCATCTATTAATATGTATGTCCCTTATCGGCAGGAATTTGTGTCTTTTATATTCCTTCAACAGCACAAAGCATGCTGAGGGTATTTAACAAACATTAAGAAGAAAAATGTCATAACATGTTGGGAGTTATTCAAAAGAAAGACAGTGTATGAAAACAGAGCAGTAATATTATCTATAAGCAGGCATTTTATCTAGCTCCTCTGGGGTAATGTAAAACAAAAGATGACTGTATTTATATGTTATGAAATAGCAACAAGCACCAAAACAAGGAACAATATATAACCAACACGGGGACATTTTATAAATAAGTCAGAAACAATAGCAGTATATGAAGTATAAAATCAACAGCAGACAGATCAAGCCCAACCTTTGCCTTAACATTATATAAAGGAAGGAAAGGATAATGCCCTCCGTGTTCGCCCTGGTGGCACAGTGGTTAACAGTTATGGCTGCTAACCAAAAGGTTGGCAATTTTTGAATCCACCAGCCGCTCCTTGGAAACCCTATGGGGCAGTTCTGCTCTGTCCTACAAGATCACTACGAGTCAGAATCGACTCGATGGCAGTGGGTTTAGTTTGATTTTTGGTTTGTCAGCCTTCTTAGGCCTCTCTTTTGTAGGGTTACACACCAACATTCCTCCCTACCTACTGATAATACCTCTGTGCACAACTATGAGTAGGTGAATTTCATCTTTAGTTCCTAGCTATATCAAGTTTTCATGCTTTTTCTTCCTTAGTGGTAGCACCTCACCACTGCACGCAGCATGTTCTATCTCTACTCTTCCTCAAACCAAAGTATGTTCTTAGTAAAGGCTTTTGTAAATTTTTATATTCAGGTATAAATGACTGATAAGAGTCAATGTCTTTGTTCTCTTAGGGACAGAAAATTAAAACTTTTAAGCCAAATAAATGAGTTCATAGTGCCTGTGTTTCAAAAAACAGTCATCACTGGAATTTCTTTTCCCGGCAGCGGGAGGGAAACTTCCCAGTGTTCCCAAATCCTCATGTCACAAAGAGCTATTGACTTCTAAGCAGAGAGCTGGCAGCCTAAGACCCAAGTTTTACTCTGGCTCTGCCCCGGTGAGCAGCTTCAGGATTCATTCACTACTAAGCCTCTCCCGTGCTTGCAGCTAAAAACCTTCTCACTCTAATGACTTTCTGCATATAGTTTGCAGCTTCCTTATTCTCATACATAGTGATATAAGGTGACCAACCTTGCCTGTTGGTCTGAGGTGTTTCGAGGACACAAGTCTATCAGTGCTAAAACTGGGTCAGTCCCAGGCAAACAGGGACCTGCAGAACCAAGGTCACTGGCACTGTGGCCACCTTGACGAACCTGTCAGTTTTCTCGAGTGGTTTGGTCTGCCTTGTTTTCCCTTCTGCCCCTGCAATTTATAGATATCGCTAAATTCTGTGCTCTTGAAAAATTATTTACCTCTCTTCTACAAACAGATCAACAACAAAAAACGGGCAAAAATTTGAACAGACATTTCACAAAGAAGACACATATACGGTCAATAAGCACATGAAGAGATGCTCAAATGCAAATTAAAATCCTAATGAGATAGTACTACCCACCCACGAGAATGGCAAAGATTAAAAAGACAGACAATACCAAGTTTTAGTGAGGTTGTGGAGCATCAGAACACTGCTAGTGAGAGTGTAAAATGGTTCAACTAGTTCAGAAAATAGTTTGGCAACTTCTTATGAAATATGCAGCCTCCTCATGACCCAGCCATTTCATTCCTAAGTAAAAAGAAATGAAGATATATTTCCAAACA